CTGGACCCCGGTCTCCGGTCTAGTTGAAGCAATTGTACTGCCCTACAAAGTCATATTCTCTTTGGTGCTTCCTGATTGATGTATTTATCCAACTAGGAAGTTACTTATGCCCTCATCCAAAAATGTGGTAGAGGCCAGATTAGTGCTGGTGGGAATAGTTTGGCTTTGGAACCACAAGCATTAGCAGTCTCCATGTTCTTTAAAGACTCGGTGGTGTTGGTACACCATGCAAAGACTACGCAGGCTTGGTTCCTGCATTCAGAGAAGTTATCTAAGAGATATGACCAGGCTAGAATAGAATCCTTAGACTACATGGAGGCTGTTAAACTTTTACATAATCTAGGGAAAGAATGGACACAAGGTTGGCATTAGTCTAGGCTCAGGTGGGAAAAGGTTATGCTGAAAAGCCTCTGCAGCTCAGGACAGCTTTGTGCAAAGAACTGAGGTTCAAAGCTGCTAGTGCCTAGGACATCAAATAGTATAGATGAGGGCGGGCAACGCTGAGGGGCGGATGGAGCTTTCCAGACAATCTTGGCATGAGGATGGAGTGAGTTTCAAATCAGTCCAGCTGAGGCAGATGGCTTCCTCCGGCTCTGCTTACTGAATGCGAAGTCACAGTCAGTAAGAAAACTGGTTTTCTTCTTCCCAGGCGCCGCCCCATACCTGAAGACCAAGTTTATCTGTGTGACACCGTAAGTGGCTTCCTTTCCCAATTTTGCCTTCATTTCTAATATCCTCAGTTATCCCTGGGAGTAGGACACTGGGTGAGAGTTAATCTGCTGAGGGTCGGAAGCCCCTGGGCTATGTTTAGTACTCACAGTGACCTTGTGTGTTTAAAAAGCTTGAGCTTTTATTTTTCTGTTGGAGACCAGAGTTTGATGGCTTGTGTGTGTGTGTTTTGTTTTTTTTTTTTCCATTGTGTCTTGTCAACCCCCCGTTTCCCCTCCTGCTGCCCCCCATTTCCTACAGAACGACCTGCAGCAATACCATTGACCTGCCGATGTCCCCCCGCACTTTAGATTCATTGATGCAGTTTGGAAATAATGGTGAAGGTGCTGAACCCTCAGCAGGAGGGCAGTTTGGTGAGTATTTGGTTGACAGACTTTGTCCCTGTAAGGGAAGTTGGTCCCTTTTGTATGATGCTCTCACATGTACACACCGAGAGCTGGTCACTCGGAATGGTAGGAGGTTCTAGAGCATTGCTTTCCAAAAGAAATGGTATGAATGCCACGTGCGGGTATAAATCTAGCAGCCACACTGGAAATAGACGAAGTTAATTTTTACAGTATATTTTATTTAACCCAGTAAATCCAACATACTGTCAATTTAACATTTCAGGCCAGGCTTGGTGGCTCACGCCTGTAATCCCAGCACTTTGGGAGGCCGAGACGGGCGGATCATGAGGTCAGGAGATCGAGACCACGGTGAAACCCCGTCTCTACTAAAAATACAAAAAATTAGCCAGGCGCGGTCGCGGGCGCCTGTAATGCCAGCTACTCGGGAGGCTGAGGCAGGAGAATGGCGTGAACCCTGGAGGCAGAGCTTGTAGTGAGCTGATATCACGCCACTGCACTCCAACCTGGGTGACAGCGAGACTCCCTCTCAAAAAAAAAAAAAAATTTAACATTTCAGAAAAAGTTGAGGCTGGGTGGGTGGCTCACGCTTGTAATCCCAGCACTTTGGGCGGCTGAGGCGGGTGGATGACTTGAGGTCAGGAGTTCAAGACTAGCCTGGCCAACATGGTGAAACCCCATATCTACTAAAAATACAAAAATTAGCTGGACGTGGTGGCGCATGCCTGTAATCCCAGCTACTCGGGAGGCTGAGGTAGGAGGATTGCTTGAGCCTGGGAGGTGGAGGTTGCAGTGAGCTGAGATCGTGCCACTGCACTCCAGCCTAAGTGACAGAGTGAGATTCCATTTCAAAACAACAAAATTAAACTAAAAGAAAAGAAAAAGTTGAGACCTTTTTTTTACTCTTTTTTTCATACTAAGTCTTTAAAATCCGGTGGGCTTTTGACAGCCACAGCACAGCCCAGTTTGGACAAACCAAATCTCAAATGCTTGGTGGCCACGTGTGTGTCGGGGCTCCTGAATTAAACAGTAGATCAAGGGCAGAAGATCTAAGGACAGCCTTAGATCTTCTGTAAACGTGGAGATCTGGGAATTGGTTAAGGGAGGAAGGAGAACGGGCCCTTCCAGAGGTAGGGTCCTCTAGGGAGGAGAGTAAATCTGGCTTTTCTGACCATCCCTGGGCCCTAAGGGACAGGAGATTGGATAGCAGTTGTAGCCTGGGTCCTATCCTCTGAAGGGCTGGGGGCGTGGCCTGCCAGTTGCAGAGGGTGGACAACTGAACTAGTTTTCCCTGTCTGTCCCTCCAGAGTCCCTCACCTTTGACATGGAGCTGACCTCGGAGTGTGCTACCTCCCCCATGTGAGGAGCTGAGAACGGAAGCTGCAGAAAGATACGACTGAGGCGCCTACCCGTGTTCCGCCACCCCTCACACAGCCAAACCCCAGATCATCTGAAACTACTAACTTTGTGGTTCCAGATTTTTTTTAATCTCCTACTTCTGCTATCTTTGAGCAATCTGGGCACTTTTAAAAATAGAGAAATGAGTGAATGTGGGTGATCTGCTTTTATCTGAATGCAAATAAGGATGTGTTCTCTGAGACCCGTGATCGGGGGATGTGGCGGGGGGTGGCTAGAGGGAGAAAAAGGAAATGTCTTGTGTTGTTTTGTTCCCCTGCCCTCCTTTCTCAGCAGCTTTTTGTTATTGTTGTTGTTGTTCTTAGACAAGTGCCTCCTGGTGCCCGCGGCATCCTTCTGCCTGTTTCTGTAAACAAATGCCACAGGCCACCTGTAGCTACATACTCCTGGCATTGCACTTTTTAACCTTGCTGACATCCAAATAGAAGATAGGACTATCTAAGCCCTAGGTTTCTTTTTAAATTAAGAAATAAGAACAATTAAAGGGCAAAAAACACTGTTTCAGCATAGCCTTTCTGTATTTAAGAAACTTCAGCAGCCAGCCGCAGGGACTCACGCCTGTAATCCCAGCACTTTGGGAGGCCGAGGTGGGTGGATCATGAGGTTAGGAGATCAAGACTGTCCTGGCTAACACGGTGAAACCCCGTCTCTACTAACAGTACAAAAAATTAGCCGGGCGTGGTGGCGGGTGCCTGTAGTCCCAGCTACTCGGGAGGCTGAGGCAGGAGAATGGCGTGAACCCAAGAGGCGGAGGTTGCAGTGAGCCAAAATCACACCACTGCACTCCAACTCAGGCAACAGTGTGAGACTCCATCTCGAAAAAAAAGAAAAAGAAAAAGAAACTTCAGTTAACAGCCTCCTTGGTGCTTTAAGCATTCAGCTTCCTTCAGGTTGATAATTTATATAACCCCTGAAACAGGCTTCAGGTCAAACCCTTAAAAGACATCTGAAGCTGCAGCCTGGCCTTTGGTGTTGAAATAGGAAGGTTTAAGGAGAATCTAAGCATTTTAGACTTTTTTTTATAAGTAGACTTTTATTTTCCTTTGTAATGTATTGGTCTTTTAGTGGGTAAGGCTGGGCAGAGGGTGCTTACAACCTTGACTCCCTTTCTCCCTGGACTTGATCTGCTGTTTCAGAAGCTAGGTTGTTTCTGTGGGTGCCTTATCAGGGCTGGGATACTTCTGATTTGGGCTTCCTTCTTGCCCCGCCCTCCCGACCCCAGTTCCCCTGACCCTGCTAGTGGCATGTCTCCTCCCATGTCTGAAGGTCCCTCGTCCTATTTGTTTTAGGAATCCTGGTCTCAGGACCTCATGGAAGAAGAGGGGGAGAAAGTTACCAGTTGGATATGATGCAGACTATGGGGCCCCAGCGACGTGTCTGGTTGAGCTCAGGGAATATGGTTCTTAGCCCAGTTTCTTGGTGATTTCCAGCGGCATTTGTAATGGCGTCTTCATTCAGTTCATGCAGGGCAAAGGCTTACTGATAAACTTGAGTCTGCCCTCGTATGAGGGTTATAGCTGGCCTCCCTCTGAGGCTGGTGACTCCTCCCTGCTGGGGCCCCACAGGTGAGGCAGAACAGGTAGAGGGCCTCCCCGTCTGCCCGCCTTGGCCAGCTAGCTTGCCTCTCCTGTGCGTATGGGAACACCTAGCACGTGCTGGGTGGGCTGCCTCTGACCCAGAGGCATGGCCGAATTTGGCGACTCAAAACCACCTTGCCTCAGCTGATCAGAGTTTCTGTGGAATTCTGATTGTTAGATCAAATTAGCTGGTCTCTGAATTAAGTGGGAGAGGACCTTCTCTAAGATGAACCGGGTTCGCCCCAGTCCTCCTGCCTGGAGACAGTTGATGTGTCTTGCGGAGCTCTCGCTTCTCCAGCAACACTCTTCAGTACATAATAAGCTTAACTGATAAACAGAGAGAATATTTAGGAAGGTGAGTCTTGGGCTTACCATTGGGTTTAAATCATAGGGACCTCGGGAAAGGGTTTGGGCTTCTCTGGAGCAGATATTCTCAAGTTCATGGCCTTAGGTAGCATGTGTATCTGGTCTTAACTCTGATTGTAGCAAAAGTTCTGAGAGGAGCTGAGCCTTGTTCTGGCCCCTTAAAGAACAGGGTCCTCAGGCCCTGCCCGCTTCCTGTCCATTGCCCCCCTGCCCGTCCCCAGCCCAGCTGAGGGAATCCCGTGGGTTGCTTACCTACCTATAAGGTGGTTTATAAGCTGCTGTCCTGGCCACTGCATTCAAATTCCAATGTGTACTTCATAGTGTAAAAATTTATATTATTGTGGGGTTTTTTGTCTTTTTTTTTTTTTTTTTTTTTGGTATATTGCTGTATCTACTTTAACTTCCAGAAATAAACGTTATATAGGAACCGTCTGATAGCATGGCAGCTCTGTCTGGCTGGTGGAGGCTTCCTTTTCCCCTGCCTAAGTTCTGAGGAGGCCTCACACACAGGCGGGGCCTGGGATGGGGGCCGGAAAGGGTCTTGAGAGGAGGTGGTTGCCTTAGTCCCCCACCCCACCCCCTTATGTTAGCCACCAGCCCGGAGGTAAGGGGTGCCTGGAGGAGCAGGAGGTCAATAGTCCAACGGCAGAAAGGTGTAAGAGTGGAGGCCTCCCTCCCCGGCCCCCTCCTACCCCCTAGAGCGGCCTCGTCCTGTCTGGAGTCAGATAAGCCACCTAAGCGGGGTTGGAGGTTAGATACTCCCACCGCACCAAGGCTTCCCCTCCTTCCACAGTTGGCTCCTTTATCACTTTTTCTTCAGTTCACCCAGTGGGGACAACAGGCAGACACCCGGTGGTGGCTGCAGGGCCTCCAGGCAGCCAGCGGTGATAATGCAGGGAAAGGCGCTCTGATCTCAGCTACACGGGCACCCACAGGGCTTCTCCCCACCCCTACACATGCCCCAGCGCCCTGGAGACGCGCCTGGGAGCTAGGAGCTAGCGCCTTCCCTTGCAGAGATGGAGCAGATTAGCCCGGTGGGGCGGTGGCACCTGCCCTTCCCTTCCCCTCCTCTCTTCTCCCACCCCCGCCTGCCCCCTGCTCTGGGCCCCCTGCGCCTCCCTCCTGGGGCCCACGAGCCGCCCCCCTCCCTTACTTGAGCTCTGAGCTCAGAAGGAACCTGCCCGCAAACCTGGCTCCCAGCCCCGCCCGGGGAGCGCGTGTTCCTGCGCCCAAGGGCCCCACCGACAGCAGAGACTGGCCGCAGCCAGCGGCGCGGGGGTCCAGCCGGGGCGAGCCAGTCCCCCTCCTGCACCCCCGCCTCACACAGTTGCCGGCAGCCAGCTGAAAACAGCGCAGCCGCGTGGTGCCACCTGCTGGTCTCTGGGAAGGAGGAGGATGGGACGTTGTGGCTCTGGGACTGCCCCTGGCCTGGAGGGTTGAGAAGTATCTTGGCCCCGGGCCCTCAGCCGCCAGCTTCGAGGCTGCTGGGAGCAGCAGCTGCTAAGGAGAGGCCTGGGTCAGAGTTCTGCCCACCCGTGCCCATCTCCATCTTTTCCCCAAACCTCGAGTCCCCTGCATTTTAGGGAATCTGTGCCCCTTAAACTGGCCCCTTACCCCTCTGAGAAGCATTGACAGTATTCCAGGGGTGGCCAGCACCCTGAAAACCACAGCAAAGCGGGCAGAGTTAAAATTTAAGACTAAAAATGACAGCGTCAGGCATGCATGGGGGAAGGAACAGAACCCAGCTCCAGGGGTTCCCATCACCCAGGGAGGCCACCAACACCCCAACCAGGAGCCATAGCAGCAAATTTATGAAAAAAATATTTTATTCCAAAACACTGTTTACACAAATGTGTAGTCTTTGTACAAAGTACAAAAGAATCCCTCTTCTCATCCCCACCTCCCTTTAGAGAAGTTTAAACCTTGGGCTCCCAATCTTCCATGGTCAGCTGCCCCTGACTGCGAGTCCTACAGCCTCAGAGGGAGGCGCGTGTGTGGTTGGGAGCAAGGCCTTCCTAGATCACAGCCAGTTACGCAACATCGCAAGGCCTGCTCCTGGCCCCACCTCCCAGCGGAGTCAAACCAAATCAGCTTTTACCCCTCACTCCAGATTCCACAGACACGCAGCACATGGCTATTTGCAGCTTGTCTTTCACTGCAGTTTTTTTTTTTTTCCAGGAGGCAAGAGGACCAACCCTCCAAGTCCCGGGGCCCCTGTCCACCCACCATATCCTAGACCCAATCTTTTCTTCCTCTTCATAGACAAGGTTACGAACAGAGAGGCAAGGTAAGAAGGCTGGGGCCTCAAGGAGGGGAGAGAATATATATCCCGCGGAACGTGGGCAACAGCATCATAGACTTGAATGAAGCCCAAGGCCAAGCAGCCAAGCAAGGACTAATTCAGAGCAGCTCAGAAACCCTCACTCAAACCAGCGGCCCTGCTGTGCTAAGGACGTGGCCAGGCCCAGACGCGCTCTCCGAGGGTTCACAGAGAGTCTGGAGTCCACATTTACTAAAGTATAAAATACTACTCAAAAATGAACCCCAGCCTCCCTCCTGAGATGAATCGGTTACATCAACACATGAGGACAGATGCATTTACATAGACACGCACACGCACGCACACACACACTCTGTGTTAGGAGGGCAAAGCTTCTCGCTCCGGAGTGAAACTTCAGCTTAGAAACGTTACCCATCTCCCCTCCCCTTCTGAATCATCTCATTCAAATAGCTGCTGAGCAGATGAAGGGCACAGAAGGAATAGGTTTGACTGCACTGAGTGCCTGCAGTGACAGAGGCTCAGTGTCTACCACGACAGAGACGGACTCGGCGCGCTCTTGGATGCCATGATCTGAAAAGAGGCCACCACTGCTGCAGCCACATCCCAGGACTGCACAGAGGAGGCAGACGTAGCTCATGCACAAGGACACACACACGCACATGCATGCCTGCAAAGGTGTCGGTGTACACAGCCATACTAAGCTCACAACACGAACGCTTCACATTGAATATTGTTTCCAAAGAGAAGCGTGGGATTCAAACATTCATGAGAGGGAGCCTCTGGCAGAGGTGAAAAGACCGGCAGGGGGCGAGAGGCGGGAGTCAAGACTGTCCATCGGTCGGCGTAAGAGTTCCTCCACGTGCCTGGCCACATCCATGGTCTCATCCAGGTCGAATTCTCCATCCTGGTCAAGGACAGGGTCAGGGCTGGTAAAGAGAGGGGGATGTCAGAGGGAGCTGGCATTTCTCACAGCCTCAGGCTCCCTGGGGACAGCCTCCAGCCTGCTCTCCACTCAAACTCGTCTCATGAGAACAGGACCAGTTCTGGCTGGATGCCCTCACCCCACCCTGAGCTGGGTAGCAGCCCACTGGCTTCTGCAGACCCCCACTCTATTCCCATCTCTTGCTAACTCACTGAATAATCTTAGGGAATTCATTTCCCCTCTCCCTGTCCTCATCTGTAAAACCAGGTGACTAACACAGTGGGCTCCGCCCACCTGCAATTATGCTCAGCTTCGTGGTAGGCACCGCCCTGTTCACTGAGCACCTAGAACGGCTGAGCCTTTTCACTGAGCACCTAGAACGGCTGAGCCTTTTCACTGAGCACCTAGAACGGCTGAGCCTACTGAGCACATGACTCCAATGTTTACAGCCACCTGGAGAGTGGGTATTGACCCCGTTTTATAGACGAGGAAACAGGGCCATGTCAGGAAGCTTGCTCTGGGCCACCTGGCTGGGAGGTGGTGGACTCCGGATTGGAACCTGCGATCTTCAGTGGTCCCACTGGAAGGTGGTACCTCCCAGACATCCAGCCCTGGCCATCCACAGTGAGGAAGGGAATTAATTCTCTACCTTGTTCCCACCAGACTCTTAAGAACAACCACCCCATTCATAGCTACCCTGTATCAAGCCCTTCCAAGCCCCTCCCTGTGGAAATGCTTCCCCACAGTGTCTCATTTTAATGCTCCTCCCGTTCTCATGAGGCAAGCATTCTTGCCTCCGTTTTACACGTAAGGAAACTTGAGCTTCAGAGAGGCTCAATCATTTTCCCAAGATTGCACAGTTGGTACTAGAGTGAGGACTGGACCCTGCTATGTTTAGCTTCAAAATGCTCCGTCTTCCTGGCTGATCTCACTCCTCCTGGACCAGGGCTTAACCAGAGCTCTGGATTCCTTTGCCCACCAGCCCTCCAGGGGTCCAGCCTGGGGCCAAGCCCCCAGTTCTTCCCCTGCGGACCCCCATGAGAACGCCACCTACTTCTGTGGGTACATGTTATAGTGAGCCTGGGGGCACACAGCTGGGGAGGGGGCCTGGTCCATGTACGTGGCGCTGCCGCTCCCGGCATCTGCAGATGCGTTCACAAACCTGCAGAAGGAAGAGAACAGCTTCAGCCGCCAGGGAGGCCGGGGCAGCTGACGGGGAGGGGACCGAGGGGCATGTTTGTCTTTCTCGGGGTGTAGAAGGACAAAGTGCCCACTTGGCCCTGGAGCTCCGGCTACAGGAGTGGGCACTCGGGTACTGGCACAGCGTGACCAAGCCCAGGTCCCTCCCCAGGGCTGAGACAGGTTTCCTGGGGGAGCAGAAAGCTGGGCCCAGGATCAGGGTGGGAGGCAGGAGGCAGGGTCTGGGGAAGGAGGAAAGAGGCAGGAGGAGGACCAGAGCCACCTGGCCACTTACTCAGGGACCACTTGCTTGATCTGTGGCTTCACGTATCCATCAACGGCTTTAGCTGCCAAGGGGAGAACCGCAGTGAGAACCAAAGTCTCTGGGAACTCCCAAGTGGGGTAGAAGTCCATGCCCCATGCAGTCTCCCTCCTGCCCACATCACCTTGTGGTCTCAGCTGGGATGAGCGTTCCCAAGGGCCCCCAGTAAACACCAGCTGATGAATCCTGCCTGAGGGTCACTGAGACCCCTGGCTTTAATCCCATCCCTTCTCCTGGTTCCTTTTCTGGCCATTTGCTTTCCCTCTCCCTGCCCTCACCCGTCAAAGAAAGAGAATGAACAAGCAAACCCAACCAATGGATTTGGGGCAGCTGGAAGAAAAAAGACTTCTCCCTTTTGCTGCCTGCACTCCACTCGGGGGAAGGTTTGTGAGCAGGGTGTGGAGACAGCAGCTGGTGAGGTGGGGAGCAGAGCACTATCTGTGGGCTCGAATGATCCCGGCCACTCCCTACAGCACTGCCACCCCTTCCTCCGAGGGTGCAGAAGTGAGAATCCATGCAGCTTTCACTTTGCAGAGAAGAGAGCTGGGACAGGTTTGTCGTTCCCTCTCATTTGTGAGCCCTGAAGTCCTCTCCGTCACCCCATGGGCCAAAACCCACAGGGGTCATGGCCCCTGGGCTCCTCCTGGGGAGTCCCCACGGCGCAGCCCAAGGCTTTGTCTACGGGCTGGGGAAGAGCCCGGGGGAGTCAGCCGGCAGGGTCCTGGGGC